TCGAAGCTATGATCACTGCGTTGAAGGCAGGAACAGTTTCTTTCTCATATCTATATTCCCAGAGACTTGCATGAAGTCTGGTGCAAAGTGGGCATTCATAAAATTTTGCTGAATGTGGCCGGGCGCGGTGGCTCACGCCTGTAATCCCGGCACTTTGGGAGGCCGAGGTGGGTGGATCACCTGAGGTCAGGAGTTTGAGACCAGCCTGGCCAACATCGTGAAACCCCATCTCTACTAAAAATACAAAAATTAGCCGGGCATGGTGGCGCATGCCTGTAATCCCAGCTACTCGGAGGGGCCGAGGCAGGAGAATTGCTTTAACCTGGGAGGCGGAGGTTGCAGTGAGCCGAGATCATGCCATCACACTCCAGCCTGGGGACAAGAGCGAGATTTCATCTCAAAAAAAAAAAAAAAAAAGTTTTGCTGAGTGAATGAATATCAACACAGTTTACCAACCATTACCTGGTTCCTACCACAATGGGAGATGTGCCTACCTCACATGTCTGTGTCCAATGTATGGCAAGGGTTGCCCAGGGAACCATCCTGGGGCACAGAGCCTACCCCCAAATGATCACAAGATTATTTCCCATCTCACATGTTCTCCTAGAACCTTGCAGCTCTCCCAAGTCTTCGTCCTCTCTGCTTGAAATTGGACAAGCCCCTCTGGCCAACTAGGGATGGTGGAAGAGACTAGGAGACTTCCAAGGCTGGGACCTCAAAGGTGATTCCAGTCAATCTGGCTCTCTCTTGGGACCCTCATCCTTAGAACCCAGCCCCCCTGCCATGAGAACCCCAGGCCACATGGAAAGGTAAAGAGGCCCCGCCCTCAGTCCCGGCTGAGCTCTCAGTGGGTGGCACACACCCACTTTCCAGCCATGTCCCTGTATCCCTTCGGACATGGATCCTGCAGCCCTCGGTTGAGAGGACGTGGAGGATGCTGTGTGGGTCGGAGGTCTTGTCTCTGAGAGAGAGACAACCTCCCCACAGAGCCCAAACCACAGATTCATGAGGAAAATGACGGACTTGCAAGCAAGTGCATTCAGGGTGGTTTATTACACAGAAATAGATAACCCGAATACTCCTTAAGAGAACATGCAGGCTGGGCGCGGGGGCTCATGCCTGGAATCCCAGCACTTTGTGGGGCCAAGGTGGAAAGATTGCTTGGGCCCAGGAGTTCAAGACCAGCCTGAGCAACGTAGGGAAACCCCATCTCTACAAAAAATTAACAAATTAGCTGGGTGTGGTGGCACACGCCTGTAATCCCAGCTACTCAGGAGGCTGAGGTGGGAGCACTGCTTGGAGCCTGGGAGGTCGAGGCTGCCGTGAGCTGTGATGGCGCCACTGCACTCAGCCTGGGCCAGAGAGAGAGATCCTATCTCAAATAAAAGAGACAACATGCAGCCTCTGGCACTGGAGGGGCCTTTCTTTCTCCTGATACGTCCTTGCCCCAGGGGATCTTGGCTTATTCTGAAAGGGGCTGTGAACACACTCTGGTCTGGCCCATTCAGACATCTGCCTGCAATGTGACAGGCTCATGATATAATCAAAGAATGCACTGGGACAAAGGGGGTTAGACGCACGGAGCTACAGGCCATCCCAGCTTATCTGTCTGTCCCTGTCTTCTGGGGGCAGCCCAGGAGGAAACCCTTCTTGACAGCCGTCTTCTTTTGGAACACATGGGAGGAATACAAGGTCTCGACTCAGGGAGACACATTCGCTTCACCCTGGATAGGACAAACAAATCAACTGAACCCACCTATCATTTGGGCATCAATACCCCCGTGTCTGGGGCCTTCCGCCCAGGCCACTATCTTTTTTTTTTTTTTTTTTTTGAGACTGAGTCTCACCTTGTCGCCCAGGCTGGAGTGCAGTGGCGTGATCTCGGCTCACTGCAAGCTCCGCCTCCCGGGTTCACGCCATTCTCTTGCCTCAGCTTCCCGAGTAGCTGGGACTACAGGCGCCTGCCCGCCAGCATGCCCAGCTAATTTTTTGTATTTTTAGTAGACACGGGGTTTCACCGTGTTAACTAGGATGGTCTCGATCTCCTGACCTTGTGATCCACCCGCCTCGGCCTCCCAAAGTGCTGAGATTACAGGCATGAGCCACCGCGCCCGGCCCAGGCCACTATCTTTTGTGTGTGTGTGTGTGTGTGTGTGTGTGTGTGTGTGTGTGTGTCTCTTTATTTTTTCATCTTTTTCATTTTACAAGAGATGACCCTTTCAACAACCAGACAGTGGATGTGACAGGAGAAGTTTCAAGGCCAGGAGTTTGAGACCAGCCTGAGCAACTGAGCAACACAAGTAGGAGAGCCCAGATGAAAAAAAATGAAAAAAGGAGGAGGAGGCCGGGGTGTGTGTGTGGGGGTGGGTGTGTGATGGGGGTGAGGGTGGCTGGGGGAAGGAGAATGAAAGAAAAGAAAAGGAAAAAGAAAAGCAACCACCAAGAAAGTTAACATTCTCCAATTGTGCAGGCACAAAAAAGTGTGATTTCACGTCTTTTCCAACAACACGGATAAAGCAAGAAGCAAGTATGTACCCAGGGAACTGCCAGGCCACTATCTTAAACCATGCCAAAGTATATATTTACAGTATGTAGCGCAAGGACATAAGTGTTCAACATTACAAGCTTGGCAAACGTGTGTGTGAGTGTTTTTGTTTTGTTTTGAGACAGAGTCTTACTCTGTCACCCACGTTGGAGTGCAGTGGCACGATCTCGGCTCACTGCAACCTCCACCTCCTGGGTTCAAGCGATTCACCTGCCTCAGCCTCATGAGTAGCTGGGACTACAGGTGCCTGCCACCACATCCGGCTAATTTTTCTATTTTTAGTAGAGATGGGGTTTCCCCATGTTGGCCAGGCTGGTCTCAAACTCCTGGCCTCAAGTGATCCACCCACCTCAGCCTCCGAAATTGCTGGGACTACAAGTGTGAGCCACTGCACCCAGACTCTAGGATTCTAATCTAGTTAAAGCAGAATGATAGAAAAACAGATGTTAGCTGGGTGCAGGGGCTCACACCTGTAATCCCAACAATTTATGAGGCCAAGATGGGAGGATAGGTTGAGCCGGAAGTTCAAGATCAGCCTGAGCAACGTAGGGAGACCTTGATTCTACAAAAAACCAAAGAACAATTAGCCAGGTGACATGTGCCTGTGGTCCCAGCTACTCAGAGGGTTGAGGTGGGAGGATGGCTTGGGCCCAGGAGGTCCAAACCCAGATGGGTTTGATCAAAGGGAGGTGCTATTGAAAGTGAGGAAGGCTGGGAAGGGAGAGAGGTGGGGTCTTCTCCGTCTTCCCTCCCTGCTAGGCCTTGGGGTTTCTTTGTTGTTGTTTGGTTTTGTTTTCTAGAGATGGAGTCTCACAATGTTGCCCAGGCTGGTCTCAAACTCCTAGGCTCTAGTGCTCCCACCTTGGCCCCCCAAAGTGCTGGGATTACAGGTGTGAGCCACTGCACCCAGCTCCCAGGCCTCAGTTTTGATGTGGCTGTGTTGCTTGGCCACACCACACATGTCCTGGTGGACGGCCCCTCTTCCGTGGCTACAGCTCTTCACTGATCCCAGCAACTCCACCTTCTCTCTCTCCTTTGCCCCTCCAGCCTAAGGGATGATAAAGTTTTCTGCTGTTGCCAGTTCCTGGGCACTTCACCAGCCCTTCTTCATGCTCTTTTTATTTATTTATTTGGAGACAGAGTCTCACATTGTTGCCCAGGCTGGAGTGCAGTGGTGCCATCTTGGCTCACTGCAACCTCTGCCTTCCGGGCTCAAGTGATTCTCATCATGCCTCAGCTTCCCAAGTAGCTGGGACTACAGGCATGTACCACCATGTCCAACTACTTTTTTCTTTTATTTCTTCTTTTTTTTGGTAGAGATGGGGTTTCACCATGTTGCCCAGGCTGGTCTCCCACCTCAGCCTCCTAAAGTGCTAGGATTACAGGCGTGAGCCACTGCACCCGGCTCCTTCTTCATTCTCTTAACTCTGCCCACAGCATATGTTATGGGCTACACTATGTCTCCCACAAACTCTATGCTGAAATCTTAACCCCCGGGACCCCAGAATGTGACTGTATTTGGAGATAGAGTGTTTAAAGAAGTGGTTAGGGTTAAATGAGGTGGTTAGGGTGGGCGGTAACCCAATAGGACTGGCGTCCTTTTAAGAAGAAATTAAGGCCAGGCACCGTGGCTCACGCCTGTAATCCCAGCACTTTGGGAGGCTGCGGTGGGTGGATCACCTGAGGTCAGGAGTTTGAGACCAGCCTGGCCAACATGGCGAAACCCCATCTCTACTAAAAATACAAAAAATTAGCTGGGCACGGTGGTGGGTGCCTGTAATCCCAGCTACTCCAGAGGCTGAGGTGGGAGAATTGCTTGAGCCTGGGAGGCAGAGGTTGCAGTGAGCTGAGGTGCCACTGCACTCCAGCCTGGGCAACAAGAGTGAAATTCCATCTCAAAAAGGAAAAAAAAAGAAGAGGAAGAGGAAGAAGAAGAAGGAGAAGGAGGAGAAGAAAGGAGAAGAAAGAAGAAGGAGGAGGAGGAGGAAGAAGAAGAAGAGAAAGAGGAGGAAGAAGAAGGAAGAAGAAGGAGGAGGAGGAAGAAGGAAGAAGAAGAGGAAGAGGAGGAGGAGGAGGAGGAGGAGGAGAAATTTAGACACAGACATATACAGAGGGATGACCACTTGAGGATGCAGGGAGAAGATGGCATCTACAAGCCCAGAGAGAGGCCTCAGGAGAAACCAGCCCTGCCAGATCCTGGGTGTCTAGCTTCTAGAACTGCAAGGAAATACATTCCTGTTGTTGAAGGTTCTTGGTCTCTGGTGCAGCCCTAGCAAACTAAGATACCACGATAAACAGCCCCTCCATTCAACTGCTCATACAGCCTTGGGAATGAGCCTGTATCCTTCTGGGACCTGACTCACCCACCTGGTACTACCAGTGGTGCCGTTATATGTCCCATCACCAACCTCATGATATCTATCATCGTGTTTCTACATCCGTAAATCTGTCCACATTTATGCCATGAATTCCTTTTTACTGAAATACTGTAGGACTCACTACCACAATAAGTACTTAAGCTGAAAGAGTTTCTAATAGGAGCCAAGTAAATTCAGCTCTCCACTGTGCAAAGCATCTTGTCATTTCTATAATAAAAGTCTTTCTATGTTGTTCAGTCCGCTTTGGCTCTGGAACCTGGATGAGTCATGCCTGGGGCCCAGGGTGCCTCTGAAGATGCTGCATGAGAATTTCAGCTGTGGTGGCAGTGGCTGGGAGTCCCACTGACTCAAGAGGAGGCCAGGCGAGATGAGCTGGAACTTTTAGGGGAGAGCTGGAACTTAGGGACATCTAGAAAGGAAAAAGGAATCATGAAAGCGAGAGTTATTAAAACACCAAGGGAGCTATCTAGTTAAACTTATTTTTAACGACATAAAACAATTTTATAAAAGTATAGGGCTGACTGGGATTTATTGAGATTTCCCAGCTTCACTTCCCTCTGCCCCCATGCAGTCTTCACCCTGAGCTACAAATAATACGGTCTTTAGCGTCCAAAGTGCTCTCACATTATTTCATCTGAACCTCAAGATCACATGCAGTAGAGAGGATAGTATTAATAAGTTTCATTTTGCAGATAAGTGAAACTGAGGAATTTGAGTGACAGTCCAAGTTCACACAGCTAAAAAGCATCACAGCTGGAGCTAGAAACTTGGGATTTTTAGATGAGACTATTGGCATCATTCCCATATTTTAATTTTAAATATTTTAAAAAATAGATATTTTTTAGAGATGAGGTCTCCCTATGTTGTCCAGGCTGGTCTTGAATTCTTTGATCCTCTTGCCTCTGCCTCCCAAAGTGCTGAGATTACCAGCGTGAGCCACCGTGCCAAGCCTGTTCCCATAATTTACACTCTCATTAACAATGCATGCGCTTGATCTCTCTAAAAAGGCAAATGTCACAGGTTGACATCACAACCAAAACTCACAGTGGGAAGGGATTTCTCCTCGACATCTGGCCGTGAGCAGGAAAGCGAAGAGAATGGAGAGAGGAAAAGAAAGAAATAATCCGAGTTGAGCTTGAAGGGAGAGAGAGTGAGGCACTCTTTAAAGTTCGCCCTTATCTTGGTTCCAACTGTGCAAGGAGAGACCTAAGAGGATTGGGCTGAACACAGATACCGTAGCCTCCCCTGAGCACAATGCCCCCCCGTTACTCCGTACTAAGCTGCCAAGTCACAGGAGTCTGATCAGAGTCGTTGTTATCTCTCTAACACTGTGGCGGGTATGTTTGCAATACACAGGGTTTCCGTAAGTCTGGGAAAATCCTACTTTAGACTTTCATTGACTCAGCAATGACATCCACCGATGACAAGTCCATGGTCCTCCCCTCCAGCTAACGGGCTCCCTCTCATTCCACAAGGAAGCTCCACACCTGCCTGAAGTGCTCTCTGTAGTCCTCCCGTAAGTCTAACCGGTCCTTCCAGGCCTGCCTTCCTGCAAGAAGCTTGCGTGTCTCCATCCACAGGATGTTTCCAGCAGGTGGATTCCCGAAGCCTTTATTACCGACTTCTCTGGCTTCGTGTTGAACATATGCTCTAAAGCATTAGTACTCACTTCTAAGTGTAATTCTTTGTCCCCCAGTGAGACTGCAAACTCCCTGAAAGCAAAACTGAAATCTGTATTTTATTTTTGAGACAGGGTCTCACTCGGTCTCCCAGGCTGGAGTTCAGCGGCACAATCA